GCAGGTCAAGCTGTGAGCGGTACGCCCGTTTCACGTCGTGCGCCGCGGGAGGAGGTGTGGGTGCGCACGCGTGTGCGGTGCACGCTGGGAGCACGAGCTGCGTGCCCGGGCCACGCAGGGAGTTCAGACGCGTTCGAGGGAGCAGATCTGCCCGGAGGGACGCTGTGCCCGGACTTGCTGTCTGAGGAGGGTGCGTGGTCGAGCATGTCTCCTGTGCCAGCCTGGCAGCGCGTTGGCAGGGTGGAGGAGGCCGGAGAAAGCCCTGGAGGTGCAGCAGCTTGCGTGCGTAGAAGAAATGTAGGGTTTTTTCTCCTGCCTTTTCTAAATGAGCCGAGGCAGTGCCAGCGAGGAGGTGGGATGGAGGGGCTGAAGAACGTCTTGTGAGCTGGGAAGGGGGAGGGTTGATCGCAGGAGTGCGGGTCGGGGCACACCAGCTAACGCTTCCTCTCCCTTTTCTCTTAGAGAAGAGACAGGACAATGGGCGAGTGTATTACGTGAACCACAACACGCGGACCACCCAGTGGGAAGACCCTCGCACTCAGGGGTAGGCAGCCTGCGGGGAGAGCGGGATGCTCGGGATTTTGGAAGGTCCACGTGATGGGTTGCTGAGAGCTGTCTGTGCCGTGGGACCGAGTGGGCTGCAGCGCTGGGGAGCCCAGAGCACTGAGAACCGCAAGCAGTGCTGGAGCCCAGGAGGGTTGGACACCGCAACCCTTGGCATGGTGGGGCAGCTGTCCCGCTTGCGGGAGCTGAGGGTAGAGAGGAGGAAGCGATGGGAAAGACTGCAGGGCTTTCTGGGCAGAAAGAGGTGCTTTCTTCTTGCCCTGCTGCCTTCCCAAAGGGCTCAGCTTGGGCTCCTGAGAGCTTGGGGTTGTGGTTCTCCAGACAATTGCTGAGGCCACCCCTCCCGCAGAGAGCGAAGCTGTAACTGCGTCCGGAGTGCGGTGCAGGCAGGCGCTTGCTAATCCCACACCGTGAAGCCTTCCTTTTGCCTGTCATGGAGCTGCAAATTGAAGGTGGTCCCCAAGGGCAGCAATTTGTGGGGCTGCAGCTCAGGGTGAGAGATGCCTGAGGGGCCTACCCAGTGACCCCCTCCTTGTCAGCAGGATGATCCAGGAGCCGCCGCTGCCGCCCGGCTGGGAGATGAAGTACACGAACGAGGGCGTGCGCTACTTTGTGGACCACAACACTCGCACCACCACCTTCAAGGACCCGCGCCCTGGGTTCGAGTCTGGGTGAGCAGTTTTGGGCCGAGCCCCTCTCTCTGCAGCTGGGCTGCGCTGGGAGTTGGGACTTGAGCTGCCTTGTTTGTACCTCGTGCCTTCCCGTGGTCGTGACACCGAGTGGGGGAAGTTGGTCAGATTCGTTGCGAAGACACCGGGTAGTGGGTTTAGGGCCTCACGTTTGGCTCTGACGGAAGGGAGCTGTGCCCCAGAGATCTTCCTCCCGCCTGGCAGGCGATGAGGCTGCTGGGGCCGGGCAGCTCGCTCCAGGGCAGGTGAGGATGAACCAAGGCCCATGCTGCTTTTCCAGGAGCAAGCAGGGTGGCTCCCCGGGAGCGTACGACCGGAGCTTTCGCTGGAAGTACCACCAGTTCCGCTTCCTCTGCCATGTGAGTAGAGCAGAGGGCTGGATGGGAGCATGGACAGCCTGACCCTGTGGGCAGGTGCGGGCCAGGAGAACCGCAGTGCCAGCCTGCACAAAGCCTCGTCTCTCTGCCTTGCTTGCAGTCCAACGCGTTGCCCAGCCACGTGAAGATCAGTGTTTCCCGACAGACGCTCTTTGAGGACTCCTTCCAGCAGGTGAGAAGGTGCTGGGGCCACGGAGCCCAGGAAGGCGTGGGGCCAGCCCTACGCTAGCCCATGGTGACCCTTCCCCTTGTTTCTCCCCAGATCATGAACATGAAGCCTTATGACCTGCGTCGCCGCCTGTACATCATCATGCGAGGGGAGGAGGGCCTGGACTACGGTGGCATCGCCAGGTGAGTGCTGGCGTGCCGGGGCTGTGCCCTGCCTGCAGTGTGATCCTTACAGGGCAGTGCAGGCAGGGGAGACTGTCCAGCAGCTGCACCCGGGCTCCCTGGCCTTTCTGCAGTGTGGAGGAGCCCAGGGGTGTTCCAATGGGAAACAGTGTGAGTTTTGGGAACGGTGGAACACCCTGAAAGCATCGCATTAGCCTGTCTCTGGCCTTGGGGGATCCAGCTGGGGCTCTCCTGTCACCCTCGGGGGTTGGGGGCGATGGGTCAAGTGGCCTCTTCTCCCTGCAGCCAGCAGGCCCCAGTGTGTACCAGGGCAGACGTGGTGTGATGCAGCCACTGCAGCCTCCTCTGCCTGCCCTGAGAATGGTGTTACCAACGAGCATGGGCTGTGTCTTGGCTGAGGTGGGGTCCCATGTCCCCATGAGCCCCCACCAGCTCACTTGGTGTTCCTCTTGGTGCTGGGCTAAGGCTTCCCCCTGCCTGTCACCGCCCTGGTGTTTGTGCTGCCGCGCTCTCGCCCGCTCCTCCTTTGTGGTGCCGCTGCCCCCGGCTCTGGTGCAGGGGCTCCTGCTCTCCGCCTCTCTCTGTGTCTTGCCAGTGGTTTTACCCTATGGTAGGTTACGTCATGCTGTTCTACCACAGGGTAGAACCACGGACAGGATGCCGAGGCTGCCTCTGCGTCCGAGGATCCTGTTGGGCGGCCGGGCCGGGGGAGCGAAGCCAGGATGGTAACGAAGCCAGGATGGTACCCGTCCTGCGCTGCTTTGAGCTCAGGGGCTCCTGGGGAGACCGTGGGGAGGCTTGGGGTGTCTGTGCCACAAACTGTGTGTATGTATACAACAGCCTGGGTGGGACTGAGCCGGGTGGTGCTACTGGGATCACTAGCACTCCTATAGGGAGTCCTCTGGCAAACCGGAGTGTTTCTCGCTGGTGTCTCCAAACCCTTCACCGAACCCCACGCAGCACTCCTGGGGTGGAGGACACTTTTGCCAAGTCACACTAGGGCCCAACGCTTGCAGCAGCATCCCAAGGAGATGGGCACCTGGTTTGTGCGGAGTGTGCTGTGGAGGGACCTGGCTGTCCCCTCTGCCGGGGCGCAGCCTCCCCGCGCACCCCTGGACACGCCGGCTCCTCGAGCCGCTCATCACCGCCCTCCCCCTTCCTCTCGCCCCAGGGAGTGGTTCTTCCTCCTGTCCCACGAGGTGCTGAACCCCATGTACTGCCTCTTCGAGTACGCCGGCAAGAACAACTACTGCCTGCAGATCAACCCTGCCTCCTCCATCAACCCTGACCACCTCACCTACTTCCGCTTCATCGGCCGCTTCATCGCCATGGTAAGAGCTGGGGCTGAGAGGAGTTGGGGGGGGTGATGGGAGACCTTCGTTTTGTGTCCCCCTGTTGGAGCAGGGGATGGGGGTGGTCAGTGGGGCGAGGGGCAGCTCCGTGTGCTGTGCCTGTGCTTGGCTCAGCACTGCCACCTTCCTTAAGCCCTGTCTCGCTCAGGTGTGGGTCTGGGAGATGGGCCGTTGAGGGGGTGCTGCGGCGTGGTGCATTTTAAATCCGGGGAATGGCCGTGGGGGCCGGAGGGGACCTGGTTTCCCAGGAGCTGTGGCGGGGATGGCTCCAGGTCTTTGGCTGCCACCCCAGGTGCTGTCGGGTCTGCAGCTCCCGGGACTATTTTTAGCCCCAGCAGTGTGAGATTTTCCAGCTGCCCAAGCCCCAGAGCGGCTCCTCCCCTTCATCTTGGATTCCCCAAGGCCAGGGGGTCACAGGG